ACCTGTATCTTGAGTCTCAGTCTGCTTTTCGTGTTTTGGTTCTGAAAGGAAAGAAAAATAAAATTCCTGGGTGATTAATATGCACAAAATATCCTAAAAATTTGGTTGTTAAGCATCCAGTTTATTTCTTTACTGATAAATGCAAAACTCTCAAAGACTTTCTCCAGTTTTGAGGTCTGAATACATCTGGGAACCATTACTGGATCTTAACATGTACTAACCCTCATCTGAAAAAGGTTATTTTTTTGATTTGGTCTCAGCAATCACTAGTAAATCTTTAATCAAATCAAACTAAGATGGAGTAATTCTCAAAAGAACTGGTAGTTCCAGCCAAGATGAAGAGGTAACACTGAGCTATACAGATACAGTGAAACACAGCTGACTTGGCCAGGGTTGCATAAGAAAAAGGGCATGCAAAGTCTTTAATGTTCTTAAGTATGATATTCTTAAGCATAAAGTATGACAAAGAGGACAAATAAGGGTATACAACCTATAAACATACTCTACGCTTCTTCCAGTGTTAAAGACCAATTGATGCTTACACAGAGGGCGTGAACATAAACCAAACAACTCCCTTAATTAAGAACTTGTAAAGTAATGTGACAGCATGGAAAATTTAAAGACAAAGTAATTTCACTTTCACATTAATGAAAGACTTCAATACTGTCATTTCACTAAATATTGCAGTTGTCATACCATGGTCTTCATTATAGTCCTCATGCACTGTATCCTCTGTTTAAAGAAAAAAAACAATAAATGTAAAAAATCATGGAATTTTAAGACAATAAATACACAAAAATAATACAGTGTCAAGTTTATTCAGGATGAAAAAATAGATATTCAAAACTATAATATTTTATACTGTATTGGAGTTAATAATACTTCAAAGTTGAAGACTTCTAAAAGATCCTGTGAAAAGAACTGAATAATTTTCCAGCATCACAGGACAGACTTAAAAAAGACAAAGCAGACTCTTCTTATACAACTCATGAAATCATCTATGAATTACCTACAATTCAGAATGGAAATACTCATAAACCATTTCTACATACAGCAAACTTCTACAGTGAGATTTTGGAATCTGCTTGTTATGGCTTGCCTGCTTTTTAATTTTACTTTTTTTTTTTACAGGTTTACTACTTTTTTCTGACACCACACTAACTTCAACATCTTTGGCAAATTCAGATTATTTTTTATCCACAGAAAAACTTCTATGCATTTTAAAATACAAGCATCCTGTCTCCTGGTAACTCTCAAAAGATTATTCTGCCCATTTGGTTGACATTACAGAAAAGCAGTATTCATGCAGGTCTTTGTGTTTTTTCAAAATGTAAATAAAAATATAGAAGTAATAACTTACTAAGGAACTAATCCTATCTATAAACTCAAATATTTTCAATATTTCTTTGTCTTGGTTTGGGGCTAAAATTCAATTAAACTTAAAGAGAAAAAATAAGGTTTTGGACTGTACCTGCATAATGTTCAATAGCATCTTCTAGCGTTAGTTCAGAGTCACCTTTAATAAAAATACTTAATATTTTATATTCTATATTCTAATCAAATTTTCATGCAACAGCTAAATAGCATAAGAGAAGTCAAAAAGGTCACACGTTTATCTCAAGAATTACAGAAATAAACATACTGAGTCAATACTACAATGTTTCATTTGAAAGTGACAGCTGGATTGTAAAACACATCAGGAGCTACATCATAAGTCACACAACATAATAAGCTCATGCAAAATTGTATTTAGGCTTTTGGTAGGTCTTTGACAACCCATTGATTAAAGCAGAAGACTCCTGACAGAACAAGACATTTATGTAAGTATTTGTGGATTGGATTTGTGGAGTGTTGTGTTCACAACCATAATGGTAACACAGCCGCAAAAATCAGCCTTATTTGAAACTACCTGAAAAGCTGCTTGAAAATAAAACTGTGACTAAACAGTCGATATGACACAATATTTTGAAGCACGTTTAAAAATGTATAAATGACTAGATTATAATCTGAAATCATGAAAATTTACAAACCTGGAACTTCTGGATCAGTTATTGTCTTTTCTGCATCCATATCATAGTCATATGAAACTGTAAATTAAATAAGAAAAAAGAAATATTTTCAAAATTAGAAACATGCAATATTTTTAATAATCAATTATTTTAACTTGCTTTCATAATGTGTCTGTCAAGAGCTTAATGTTGCTCCCTAGCTGAAAACTGACAAGTTAAAACCTGACAGACACTTACATCTTGAAAAACGGCAATCTACTGGAAGGTGTTGGGCCATCCTCTCTTCTAAGTCCTCTGTTCTACCCTCGGTAGAGCCACCAGAGACATTAGACTCCATGAATATTTTTAATAGTTCTAATACAATGTATTTGTAATCTTATTGCCCCCTACTCTCAAAGTTCTAAAGTAGCTTCTTTAGTAAAGTGCAGGAAAGAGTCAGAAATCAGTCCTTAAGAAATACGTATATTCGCTTCTGGCATCACAGATTTAAAGCAATTTACTTTTTTTCACTGCATAGCTAAATATGGGGACTATTCCTTTGTGACTGCAATTCTTTGCAATATTAATATACTCAGTATGATACATCTGGCCAAGCATGGTGCTGAAGGTAAAGTAACAGTCCTTTGATTTCAAAAGCATTGCAGCTTGGATTCTCAATCAGTAACTGGAAGGCAATAATCTCCCAACAGAGACAGAAATAAGCAGTTTTAGCTGTTTCAAACAGATAAAATTAATTTTCTTTCATATTTGGCATCAAACAAGACTGTTAAGTCCAGAACTAACATTGAGCCAAAGGTAAGAAGCCTGGTCCAAACAGAAATCAATGTCTAATACAAATGGAAGAGGCTGCCCTGTACTATAAAGAAGCACTATTAGCATCCAGAATAAAATACTTATCAAACAGCAGGGAAACTGTAATATCCACCCAAGGTTTCTTCATAATGGGAAAGGTGAGATAATGCTCAGCTTGTGGTATCAAGCACAACATGAAGATGACTATAAGCTAATTGGATTAGTTCAGGGAAATTTCTGTCCACAACAGCCAGGAACACAGAAAAAAGTAAAAATGAAGTTTTTTGCACAAATTAGAGCAAAACTTCCATCACTATTGTCCCTTCTTTAAGAATCATTTGCAATAGCAAGCATGATACAGTTATCTTAGTCAGAGTAAAAATATCCAAGGCAATCAAGAACTGTTGTTAGGAGAGAAAAAGAAAAATTCAAAATTTTATCTTACTAAACCAGTCTAGCCTATTCTATTTTGTTTTCTCACATAATTTGCTACATTGAGGCAGAAAACAAATACTACCAAGTCTGGAAAAGCAAAATTTTACCTGGAGCTTCATAAGGTTCAGACTCCATTGCTCCCAGATCATCTGCCAAAAGATCAGCATCTGAGAAACAAAGATGTATTTACAAATAGACAACATCCAATACATGAGTTTTGCAAAAAGAGGTATTGAGATATATGTAAAATTCTCAGTACTGCAGATAAAAAGAATTCAGAAATATTTTTGCCTAACTTGGATTTAGTTCATATGATTCTCCTTTAATACTTTGAATCCAAACAATTTTTATTCTCCTGCCAATGCCTCAAGGCAGCAGGATATGAACATCTTCTGTATACAATGTTCTCAGCAGGACTTGCCATTCAGCTCATGTATAATATTCTCTTAGAGAGCCACATTAGAATGAAACTGGAGTTAAAAGAAATCCATATACAAAAGGTTGTGCTAATAAATTCTTAAAATTGAGCTTAGTAAACTCAGAAGTCCAGAAGCAGACTCCATATAGATATTATAGGACACGCTTTACTGGGGAAGAAAATATATAGCTGGAGCAAGATTAATTTGTTTGCCAGAAAGCCAGTATAGCACTAAGTAAACAATAATATATAGATACCTACATTGCAAAACACACAGTATTAAAATATCCCATTTTGATTTAAAAAAAATAATATTTGCTAAATAATACTTGTTGTGGCTGATATTTGCAAAGTCTCCACTCAAGTTCTTAATGAGACATATTTCCGTTTGTCTATTCTTGGTTTTGGCAAAATTTAATTTTAAATATATTTAGTCATCCAGATACCTTTCTGAACTGAGTCTGGTGTCTCATATGATTCTGGAATTTCTTTCTCTAATTCTCTGAGCAAGTCATCTGCTGTAGGAGCTTCAAAAGTTTCTCCATGTATTTCTTCCTTCGCTTGCCACTGGTCATTTATATTTTCATCTACATCTTCATGTCTCTCTCCTGATCAACAATACGGATTGTTAGAGAACACACACTCTTTGGTAAATTCTATTGCCAGCAAATATTCAGTCTTCAGCACATCTTTTGTGTTTTTCAGCTAGTCCCCAAAGGGAACGGGGAGGGGGACAGGTGACTTGTCTGCACTTTACAGGAGTTTAAGCTCAAATTATCTGCACTGACTTGCCAGCACCTTCTTTGTTCATGGAGAAAGTCACAGTAAAAGCCACCTCTGTTTAACCATTCTTTCACTACACACAGTATTTTGTGCAAATTTTTGTCAACTGACTGATTTGATCTACTGCTATCAAACGCCTCTGGGTAAGAGGCCACAGTCTTACAATTTAATCACTGAACCTTCTGATTTTTTTTTTTTTTAAGATGAAAAATTAGCCGCTTGGAACATTTTGTGCAGGCAAAAGTACTTTAAGTGCAGACCAAAACCAGACTCTGCAATTTGCCTGGCCTATGGCAGTATTTATACATTCTTCAGTGATTTCTAAGTGTTAATGCATTACCCGGCTGGGAATGGAGAGCTTCACGAAGAACAGACTGAACTTCCTCTTCCAATTCTATGTCAGCATTCTTGTGCTCTAAAAGGATTATAAATTGCAGTGAAGGTGAGTGCAAAAGGCAAAGCCTAAACAACTAGCTCAAGACTTGCAGCTTTTAGTTGCCCCCATAAAGTTCTTGCTCCATTCCATAAAGTTTCATAGAGATTGACTTGGTGAACCTCTGCAACTCACACAATTTGGTTTTGCTTACTTTCCAATATGGGAATTCCTGCATCAATCACATCAGATTTATTCTGAAGATGAATTGGAAGAATTTATCTACATGTACCTTTTTCTCAGTGGCAGGAACATTAATAACTATTCAACCCAAAAATTCTCTTTTAAGTAATTACTTTACTAATGCTCTCATCCATGACTTTCCTACAATTTAGGCAGCAGCACCAGCATGTCATATTTGACAACAAAATGTCATTGGCATTAGTTGGGGTTTGTTAGTTTTATAAACAGAGAAAACAGATCCTGAAATTACACTACTATGGTCTTCTCCTGGTAATTCACAGCAGAATAAATCACAAACCGATTTCTGGGATGAGTGACCGACATATAACACATCACCCCAGGACAGAACATGAATTTGTGTGACGTGTTGCCTTCATATACATGAACTGAAATTAACACTGAGAAACTCAACAGCACAAAATCAAATTGCAGCTGCATTTTTCAAATAAAGATCCAAAATGGTATCAGATATGGGGAAAAAAAAAAGAAATGACATCTTAACTTTCTTGATATATTTTAGGAGTGATAACGTAAAAAAATTAATGCAAATATTTTCAAACAAATTCTATATTCCACTTTATTAACCACATGCCCCACATTTGTGGGTTATTGTGTTAGGTTCACATAAACATGAAGTAGAATAAGCCTCTTATAGGAAAATACATGTACTCTCTGAATAATGCTAAAATGCAAATCACATATCTGAAATCTGATGTGTAACAGTATCTTTTTCTTACATTCCTCTTGAACTTAAATTTTACTTATACTTATGGGGCTTTTCAAATGTTTAATTTTTGAATACAATACACAAAGCTGTATTTATTGCATTTATGACATATCATTGGTTTTAGTAGAAAACTGAATATTTGATATATCTTATAAAGTTGTTTGTCAGGGGGTTTTGTTTGTTGGCTTTTAGTTCTTTTTAAGGTGGAGAATCTACTGTTATTCTGACTGTGTGTACTATGCATTCATACCAAAACCACAAGAGCACACCAGCAGAACATTATTCTGATGTGATATGGTTCCAACCATGAGAGATGACAAGGCCTTCTATACATTTAAAGTATAAACTTCTCACGGTCAGTAATTTATATAAAGTTATCAACACTCATTAAACAATCTATAGGGTATAATCAACACATAAAAGCAATGAAAGATTAATTTTTTTGCCCAAAGAAATAACAAGAGTTCATATGCTGAGGAAACAGAATTATAATTCAAATGAAGCATCATGCCTCTCATTTTATCTATGGTTCACAAAAGTCCTTACCTGATTCGACATAGGGCTTCTCAGCAGCCTGGATGGTCTCCTCAGAGTCTGGTGATGGTGGCTGTGCTGGGACAGATCTTTCTTTAAGGCCTGCATTTTTCAGTTATAAAGTTAACTTTATGCTCTTTTTGATCTGATTCAATTATAAGCTAAGAAGGTTGTTTTAATTATATTAATTGTCAATAAACTCTCCAAAATGTAGACAAACAATCACGATTACAGGGCTGTCCTGATGCACAGTGATATATACAAAGATTAAAGTGTATTCAGATAATAAACAAATATGTTTTGAAGACAAACATACAATTAGGGAAAAAAAGGGACAGAAATTTAAGCACTTGCCTTTATTTCAAAGTAACAGAACAAACAACTATGCTATTCTCAACATATGGTCAGCATCCAGAAGGAAAACAGGCAGCAAGTTTTTCCTCACCATTTTTCTCTTTGGGCAGAAAGTGCTTAATATGATCAATTTTATAGGTTTTATGAAGAACTAATTTGACCCATATAACATGCTGCTCAGAATAAGAAGAGGTATTTTGAATTTATATGTTAAATCTTAGAAGATCTAATTAAGAGAACTGTAGTTTCTCCAAACTAAAGTAATCTCAATCTCCAGTTTCTTTTGACAACTAATTTACTACACAAAAAGTCTGACTGATAGGAAGCATCTTAGTGTTGAAATTCTATCTATACCATAGTCTCTTTCTAGATCAAAGCACAATGAAAAGAAAGCAATAGCATAGTAAGAGATAAAGGTAATTCATAGCCTTGAAAGATTATGCCACATCTCAAGACACCACATCCTCAAGAAAGAATGCATTGGTATTAGCCCAATCCACCTCTCAACTATCCTCAAGGCAGGATTCAAGAAAGACTTAAACCAGAAACAGCCAGTGTAATCCTACCCCTGAGATGACCCTGTTTGGAGCAGGATGTTGGAATAAGGATGTCCCTGAAGTCCCTTCCAGCCAGAATTCTTCCAAAATCCTATGTAACTTTTCCTAGGTTCATATTTAAGTATGAGTTCCGAGGTCAATTAAGAAAAAAATACATTCTTAAACACACACACAGACACACTGCCCAAAACAAACTATTTTGCCTAGAAAATAGAAAAATAGTATTTAAGAAAGCAGAGGCTACACTGCAATGAACATGACTGTATTGCTAGCAGCCTTGTAAAATGAACTTCAAGTGAAACAATTAAGTATTATATTTAAAGTCAACAAAATTTAAAAAAATACATTACTAGGTTTTGACGGGAGTTAAACATCTCTCAATACAAAAAGGGCTACTATGCCTCAAAACAACTTTGTGTGAACTAGCGAGATTTTATTATTTTATGCATTGTGAAAAAAACACATATACTCATTCCATTATGCTGAAAAAGTAATGTGAACAGGGAAAACAGAATTAATTCTACTTACACATTTTCATATCATTTAAATTATAGGAAGATAAGTAGTTAGGCTATATCTATAACTATTATAACCAAGAGTTCACTACTAAGCCATCAAGATGAGAAGCTATAGGAAAAAAGGCAAATTTAAACTTCATTTTTTGCCAGTTCTCTTCTGTGCCATTAAAAAACACTGAAATACTCAAAAATATTAAGACTTACACTCTGCAGTAATATTAATGGCTACAGGAATAAGAAGTTATTCCACAATCTTCTTTAATTATATATGGAGATAAAACCAGTTAATTGTATTAGCCACTGTCTCACACTGCAGTAATATTAATGGCTACAGGAGTGAGAAGTTACTTTCTTCCACAATCTTTTTTAATTATATATGGAGATAAAACCAGTTAATTGTATTAGCCACTGTCTCACACTTTAGAATCTGGAAGAGTAGAAACAGCCACCCTGCTTTCACAAATCCAGTTCACTTCCCTCACATATATAAATAAGTCCTGACACCCTCCAGTAACCCACACCTCCAGTTCCAGACAAGCACTTACTCTGCTTCACGAACAATAAATAGATTCAAAGCATTCCAAAGGATATTCAATATTTCACAGCCAACAAGAACTTAGGGTGTGTAAAAGGAAAAAAGGGACCAGCAAGGGTATTTCTTTGTTTTGCTTGCACATTTCTCAACTTTGCTTTTAAGCTTTTTCATACACACCTATTCTGTTTATCACTGATTTCTATTCAATCCTATTGAGTACATAATCTGTTAAATCATTTATTTTTTGCAAGACGGTATTTTCTCTTACCTATTTATCAAAATAATGTTGCACCCAGTTTTGGCCTGGTGCATTTTTTGAGCTTATGTGGTAACTTGCCATGTTAAATTGAATGACAATAATATTTCACCAAGATATACAACAGCACAACACATCTCTGGGGCAAAAAACTCATTTTATTGGGTGGCTTTCTGTATAGCTCAGAGTGCTGCTCAAATAAAGCGTTCTTTGGAATAAAAAAACCCAAACAAACCAAACCCAAACCCCAAACTTTTTTTAGAACCAGATAAACTTTGGGTCATAGATACAATAATATGTTAATCAGAAAGGCAACTCATTCCAAATTTCACTCTCAGACAATTTATGTTACATTAGGGAAGAAAATAAGTGATGTGCACTACACTGCTGTGCCACCATTCTTGAGAAGCACAATTTGAGTGTTCCTTGGTCAAATATGTATCTTGACACTTATTGGAGCAAAGATGAAAAAACATGTCTACCATGACCAAAACCCAAAAGAGAACGCTCATTATGCAAGTGCATTTATTAGATCTTCAATCTGTCACGTTTTTTTGCTAAGCACTAGAGTGTTCATAACACACACATCTCTTCCCTCCTTCTTCCCACATATATAAATGTTTAGAAAATAAGTCATACATCATCTCTATTAGTTACCACAGCTAGAACTATTTGTCATAATTTCTTCTAAAAAAACCCCAATCAGATTATATCTTACCCTATTACTACATCTTATACCTCTAGGAGTCAAAGCACCTAAAAGAGACACATATGTGCTGTACTGAAAGTCTGAGATAAGAGTATTGCCAACTGTTATTCACAAACTTAAGCAAAACCCTGAACACAATCAACCTTGAGGACTTTAATCTTACACCCCCACCCGCATGCATCTACTCATGCACAATTTCACGCCTTAGTTTTGTTCTCTTTAAAATAATACTGCAGTATAACAATAATAAATCTTCAACTTTCATTACAGATTTTGTTCCGAGTCTTGTGTAATTTTATTGTGCAATTAATATTTCAATATACTAAGCAAACCAGGACCAATATTTACCTAATAAAATTAGAAAATATTCCTTTCCCATATAGACTTGAAAGCAAGTATAGATTTAATGACATACTGGAATATCTCTGCAGAAATGTTTCTTTTGTTTATTCTAATGAGGCTGCTGGATAAATCATTCCTCAGAGCCAAAAATACAGAAGCTGTAAGAGCAAACTAACACAGGAGCTTGCTTACAGAAGAATCATGTACTAGAAAAGTGTTGTTTGAAGAAAATAATAGTTGCGAAAATAATAGTTGCAAAAAGAACAGAAACTGTTCTCTAATCAAGTTCAACCAGAATAGAGTAGTAGTAGCATATCACCTCTTCAAATGTGATTGGAATTCGACAATGCCCATCAATGAAGCAGTAGGTGGCCTAATTTTCTTAAGTATTCCTTACCAGAAGCTTGGGAAACTGAGAAAAATCAGGACCCAGTTAACTGAAAGTAACAGATTATTAAGTTTTCAGACCTACAGATAGCTAAGAAACAAATAAACAAAGGAAGGAAGAAAGGAAAAGCAGAATATTTTGTCACAGGATCAATAAACAAAAGTGCTACAGCATTTTGATTGTATACACATTGAGGTCTCATAAATAATCACAACACTGAAGTTGATTTGAGTGCTTGTGTATAAATAGATTTCTCGGTCTACTTAAGGAAAAAAAAATTAACAGGAAATAATTTACATCTGTTTGCTAAGTTCCTATGACAATACATTCCATTTATGCTTCTCTTGGTTGTTTTCTATGAAACAGAAATATTTTCTTTTGAGTTTCCACTACATGTGTCCAGATAATGCTCTTAATATTAAGCTTGCATTTGATATACAACATTACACCTTTCACCCCCCCTCAAAAAAAAACAGCATTTTAATATAAGGAAACAAAGAAAGGGGAAAAAAAACCCCACAGATGTATGGTATGTATTGATGCCAAGTAATTGGCATCAATTTCACACTTCTGTTTTCACTACCCATTATTAGCCAGGCACATTAACATATGTACATATTTGAGTTTCACAGCAGACATTTTTGCTTGGTGTTTACAATGCCAGCACACTCTTGATTTCAAACAAATATTATATATAGCCTTTGTTCACACTTATTTCCAGAAAACATTATCTTCTTATTGCCATATTTACCACATTCATATAAATATGCTGAATTTCTCATTCTTGAGGTCTGTTCCTCATTAGCAGAATGGGAACTCTGGTTATTTCTTTTCTTTCTTGTCCTCCTTGGATGGGGTTTTACCTATCTTTTTTGTTTCTTTGTCTTTTCCCACCTTTTCATCATCCTTTTCACTGGCTGATTTTTTTGTAGTCTCCTTGGATTTCACATTTTTGTCTAGGCCTTTTTCCTTTTCCTTTCCTCTGTCTCTTTTTGCCTTGTCAGACTCTTTCTTTAATTTATTCGTATCAACAGCTTTCTTGTCCTTTCGATCAGTAGCATCTTTTCCTCTCCTGGCTTTCTTTTTTTCTTCCTCCTCTTTGATTTCCTCCTTCTTGGATTCCTGCTTTTCCCTTAATTTCTTGAGCGGTTCTTTAATAGCTTCTTTTACTTTTTAGATTTTCATTTAAAAAAGAGGAAATGTTCAAAAAGAGAACCATTTTGATATCAGAAAACATCTTATGAACAACTATGGAAAAGCTTTGATCGAATTCTTGCTTAGTGTTTGTTAGATGCCAATTTCAACTTGGAAAATTAACTATTAAAGCTTTAAGCAATTTAAACCAATTAGTTTTGACTTCTGGCAATATCTCACACCATGCAGCCATCCAGTAATTAGCTTACTGCAACTGCATCTGAATAAAGCATTAATCTAGTGAAAAACACACCTCTCACTGTTAACTAATGTCTGCAGAATGCTAAAACCAGTTGTGTCTGTGAGCATGAAAATCACAGGAAATTTTGAATCCTTGACAACAGTACGATAATTGTAGGATCCAGCAATGTCAATAGCATCACCAAAGGAAACTTTTTTCACAATTTTCTCAACTTTCTAAAAGTACAAATGAAAGTGTTAACAACCCAAATGTATACTACATTTTACTGACTTTGTTACCGCAGATTAAGCCAAGACTTAAAATATATCTGAAGTATGTATTTTACAAAAATCAGAAATAAGTACACAATAATGAAGAAGAAACAGTACTGCCCGGGTGAATTACACCAACTCCAAAAAAGTTCACTTGGTTTCACCATATTCAGTGAAATCAAAGTAACAACTGTAAACTATTTCTTACATCTTTGCGTTTCCATATGTAGCATTATTAGTAACATATTTGTTTTACTTTTGGAGTTGTTGTATCTTTTGTGCTTATTTTCTCTATTTCAATTTACATTTGGCTGTGACATGATATTTAGATAATACCTCAGAAACTCAGTCAGAACAGCATCCTTGAAATTTAAACATTCAATATTTACTTCTATGTCAGCCACAGCTTCAAAATAATTGTCAGTATCAGCAGCATTTTTCAGAATAAGGAATTTTTAACTCAATAACATTTAGAAATATTTTCATTGCATCTGTGTGCAATATTTGTATTCAATTTTAAAATGATTGCTCTCAGATTATTTAAGAAAACAGTAAAAATTTTACATACAAAATAAAACAGCTCATGTTTTATTCAGACTTTTGAGAGAAACTGCAGTCTGTTGAGGTGAAAAGCAGGCAAGTGACAACATTTCTGCTGCAACATCTGCCTCTAACTGCTGTGTGATGTCTCCATTGAATGAACAATTCAATCCCACAGCTCAGACTAAAAGGAATAACATCATGTTTCCTTCCAATTCCTATTTGCCATAAAGCATTTGTAATAAACCTTACCGTTTCTCGAAAAATAATCCAAAACTCAGGAATGAATTGTTAAATGACATTTATTACGTTCTTGAAAACACACAATTGGCAACCAAATAATACCAAGCATAATGGGGAACAAATGCTAAAAATTCCAACTTGCATGCAAGATGCTAAGAAAAGTCACATACAGATGAGCATGAGATCTTCCCTCAGCAAATGCACCCTTTTTCTTAATGAGACTTAGCACATGAACAGCGTGCATTTTTCACATACTCCTAGAAAAAGCATATTAAAGTCTAAGTGTCTTTAATGCAACAAAGAGACTGTTCTTTCCATAGCACCACGCTGTGTGGAGACAGCTGAGCAGATCTAAAAAGTTAAGCACCTGAAGTACATCTGGCAGTTTGGTGTTTTGCTGAGGCCAATTAGCTTTTTTAATCTCTCTGTTGCACTGAACGTGTTTATACCGTTATGTCTTGCCATACAGCAATGTAATTATAAATAAATGGCATAAATTTCTTGCAAGTTATCCTACTTTAAGATTTTGGAAAATTTGTAAATATAATCACTGCAAACAATCCTGCAAATAATATTAAAGAGGAAGTTATTGAACTTTACCTAAATTTCTCCTTTCATAAGAAAGAAATGGATGAAACTGTTTAAGTGCAGACTTAAGCAGAAAATAAGCTGCTCAAAGTCAAATTACAATATTGTAATAGCATCATGAACTCAGACAGAGCAAAACCTGCATATATATCAGAACTTTTTTTTTTGAACATGCAAAATATGAAAGTTAACATGAACTACTTATAATCCAAACAACTGTTGCAAAAACAAAATATAATGTCTAGTTAGGAAAGCACTCACGTTGCCATTAAATTATAATCAGTAGTAAAAAACCCACTCACTGAAAACCAGGGAGGACAATAGTTTGCTGCACCATTAGACAACATGGAGCCAACACAGCTGGTATTAGTAAACATTATCATAACCTGCAATCTGTATTGGCAATGCGCATGCATTTCAGACATCATCATCTGCATAAAGTTCCACAAGAAAGAGAACGTTAAAAATACCTTTGACTTTAGTTTTTTTCTTGGCTACCCCTCCTGGCTCCTCACCTGATTTGTTGCAAAATGGAAATAGGTTATGAACATATCTCTGATGTTCAATAAACATGACATAAAATTTTCCCAATCCGCCATGTAAAAAGTTACCTTTACATAGCACGTGGCAATGCTATGGAGAGATACCAAATGTTAACTCATTAAGAATAAGGCATCTTCAGTAGCAACCCCACCGAAGTTCTGAGACGAAAGACTAATTAATCCAAAAAAAGTACCATCTCAAGCTACTTGAAATGCTTCTTATCTTCTTAGAGCCAGCTCAGCTCTCCCCAGGAAGTCTGATGCCACAGAATTATGACCAATATCCCAGCTCTCTCTCAAACCCACTAACTTATATTTCTATGCAATAAATATTAAATATAAGTATTTAATAAACATATTAACTCTAATGATCTCCAAGCACCTATGTCCTGCAGATGATATAAACCGAATATTTTCTTACAATGAATTACAATCTATGTTTCTTTATCCAAGAAGGTTTTGTTCATATTCCAAAAATCAGTTGCCATTTCAGTTAAAATACTCACTGCTTACTTAAGACTATTTAAGACTGTTACAGCTTTTATTAAAAAAAGTAAACCTTCCTCTCCAAAATAAGGTGCTGCCCTCTTTCGTCATTATAGCTAACGGAAATTGAGGTCATTCGTAAACCTTGCTCTCCAAAATAAGGTGCTGCCCTCTTTCCTCATTATAGCTAACGGAAATTGAGGTCATTCAGCATCTTGATTGTGCTTTATACCTAGTTCCACAAGAGGAATGAAGGCAAAAGCCTTCCCCAAAATACAAATGATAATTAGCCTCATCTTTCTAATACCATAAAAAGAGATTGGATTATCATATTGTGCTGCTGTGGATTAAGACCTAAACCCCATAAACACAACTACTTTAACCACAACAATTATGTACATTGTTATCCATTAACCAACCACAAAGTTAATAAAAGTTATGGTAAATATATTCTTTTAATCATGCATTATCTTATTAAACTATAAGACATATTCCCATGCCTCAATATTAGGCTTCTCATTCAGACATATAAAGTGTCTACATTGGACACCTGAACCTTGAGCTTAGGTTTCTAGAGAACAATTAAGAACTACCCAAACTGCATCACCATACCTGAACATTTATTCTTAAAAAAACCCCAAACCAAACAAAACTTCCATATTCCACAATAAAAAAATAATATATTTAAAGAATGTAGCCATTTAAATCATTGTAATCAACTTGCATCTAATTCCTACCTTACATGTTTTCGAATTATGCAGCATTAAAATTCTATCTTATTACTTCTAAGCAGTGTGTTGAACAGTAAGTAAACAATTTTCTCATAGAAAAGGAAGAACAAATTCCAACTTTGTTATACGACAGCATCAATGAAAATATAAATAAAAGGTACTCAAAGTTGCACAAAAGCTATATTTAAATTTCCAACTCCTTACCTCTTTTCATAGTAAAATTACACGTTACAGGATATTTTAAGAGACACTCTTAAAAGCATGTCTTGACAGGGAAAAGTGAAAATTTTACAAAGACCTGTATAAGTAATAATTATCACACAGATATTTGAAATTATTTTAAAATATATGTACTACATTGAAATGTTCACTGATTATTGATATTTCACATGCTAAATATTCAGGCAAGCAGTAATTTGTTTCAAACTCCTTTAATACAATGAATAGTGTTAAGATTCTCGGCAAATTATCAATCGATGTCATAATTCTGTAAACCATGTATAGTTTAATTTATTATGAACAGACCCGTTTACAGGAAAAGTATGGAGGAAAACGTATTTTGAAGTCTTAATACAATGTATCGTATATAGTTTAATTTATTATGAACAGACCCATTTATGGAAAAGAATGGAGAAAAACGTATTTTGAAGTCTTAATACAATGTAATAATCACAAAACAGAAATCCTGCTGCATCTTGATTTCCACCTGGACTGGGTCCCTACGATGGCTCCAGGAGATCTGAAGCAAGACATCGGTGCAAAACACTTCACTTTTCCAAGACAGTGACGTCCTGGGTCACATGATAAAATATAAATAAACTCACTGGCAAAAACTTGGGCTCTACCAGTCTCAGGGCACACAAAGCAACGTCCAGAATTTTACGAAACACGTAACTGAAATTGTGGACCCTTATTCTAAGTTTCAATTAAAGTGTCTTCACACTTTTTTGAGCTAGTTTTTAAGTTCCTTCTTTTTCCCACTCAGTCCTACTTTATAAATATCCGGTGCTGGCAATACAAAAAGAAATACAGAATTTGTAACTACATTTGTGACTATAATGGAATGTCAGAAATGGCTACTACTGGAGTCAGTAAATTAAAAAGTAGAACTCAAATTTAACATAGCTGGCTAGATTTCCAAGATTTTCCAAAGAACTGCTTTAAACAATCATACTAAATTAAATACTCATGTCAAAGTGCTTATCTTTACACAATGCTTAACAATAGACAACTCAGTATCTTAACTGAATCTTTGAAACTTAGACTATTACAGAGCATTTGAATTCTGCTACAAAATCCAGTCATTTACTCTATTTTTCCCCTCATAAATCTTCAAGAAATCTTCAAGCCTCCACAAAAAGACCCCAGCTTTAGAATTTCAGCATCAAAAGTAAAATATAGGGATACTACTTTCATTCATAAAGATAAGCATTGCAAAACAAAAATAATAGATAACAGAGCACTCAGTCTTTTTGAGCAGTTTCGCAGATGTTGACAGGTACCATTCTCATATTTAACAATATATTGAGAAATCCGTTTATTCTTTCTTCTTATTGTTCTTGAGAAACAAGTTTATTCTAGCATATGCAAATTTTACATTATTCATTAATAGTACTGAAAACTTTTATATCCTTGGTATACAAAAGGTTTTGCCACATGAAAAAATTCCTATAGATTGATTTCACAACATCTACCTGCATCATACAACAAATGTCAACTAATTAAGGCAGCTTAGCCTCAAACAAGAGAAAAAGGAAGAGGCTACTTCTTACTTCCCATGGAAAGTGTACGGTCAAGCTCAGCACTAAGGAGGTGACAGACAGAACTTGCCATTTATGCAAACCCTGGATAACAGAAGAGGAAGTGCCAAGCTTTAAACATTAGGGGTTTCTGTTCAGACTCTTGTCTTAATTCATGAGGTCCCATCAAAAACACCCTTTCACCACAGAAAATTAGGAAAAAATGTTAAAATTGCAGATCTAAAAAAGGAAATACAAATCTGTAAGGCAAAAGAGTAATCAAAAGGAGGTGACAGACAGAACTTGCCATTTATGCAAACCCTGGATAACAGAAGGGGAAGTGCCAAGGGGTTTCTGTTCAGACTCTTGTCTTAATTCATGAGGTCCCATCAAAAACACCCTTTCACCACAGAAAATTAGGAAAAAATGTTAAAATTGCAGATCTAAAAAAGGAAATACAAATCTGTAAGGCAAAAGAGTAATCAAACTTTTTTTTTCCCCCCTCCTTTTTATTTTCTTTCTCCAGAACTGCAAGTCAGAAAGAGCTATTATTGTTTGCATATGCACCTGCACACATTCATGAGGTCCCATCAAAAACACCCTTTCACCACAGAAAATTAGGAAAAAATGTTAAAATTGCAGATCTAAAAAAGGAAATACAAATCTGTAAGGCAAAAGAGTAATCAGACTTTTTTTCCCCCCCCTCCTTTTTGTTTTCTTTCTCCAGAACTGCAAGTCAGAAAAAGCTATTATTGTTTGCATATGCACCTGCACACAAATATTACTATTGTTTTATATTTATAGTATGCTACATGGGATATACAAGGTCTTCTGCTAAGCAAAATAGCTCACAGAGAGAAGGCTAGCACCCACTTACCTTAAACTGACCTCACGACCTGTATGCAGATTACTGGGTATACCAAAGTCTATAATCACAGAATCACAGAATTATCTAGGCTGGAAGAGACCCTCAGGATCATCGAAAGAGCTATTATTGTTTGCATATGCACCTGCACACAAATATTACTATTATTTTATATTTATAGTATGCTACATGGGATATACAAGGTCTTCTGCTAAGCAAAATAGCTCACAGAGAGAAGGCTAGCACCCACTTACCTTAAACTGACCTCACGACCTGTATGCAGATTACTGGGTATATCAAAGCCTATAACACCCCCAAATGCAGAAGACATCCTTTTTAATTCATACAACTAGCATTAAAGAAAATAAAAATTAAAAAAAACCTCAATACATCCTCAATAAGTTGCTTTAACTAATGCTCCCAAATGCAGAAGACATCCCTTTTAATTCATACAACTACCATTAAAAAAAAGAAAAATAAAAAAAACCCACCTCAATACATCCTCAATAAGTTGCTTTAATATCTCCTATTTAATTCTAAAATTAGAAGAAAAATTCAAATCGGCTACACACAGAAAGCATTTTCTTTCCTGAAGTCACAGATGCCGACATTGCATCTTATATGAGAAGATATAAGAAACCAACAAGCCTCATCTTGAGGAATCCATTCTAACTGACCACAAGAAAGACAGTATTTAATGTATTTCATGCTACTGTGCCATCATTATGATAGCTACTTAACTGATGGCAACTGAACAGGGAAAATAGGAGGCATCTGGCCAAAAAGACTGAACTGTACACACCAGCTTTCCCCAGCTCTCAAAGACTAATCAGAATTATAAAATGGTTTGGGTTGAAAGGAACCTTCAAGATCATCAAGTTCCAACCACCCTGCCATGGGCAGGGACACCTCCCACCAGACCAGGTTGCTCAAAGCCCCATCCAGCCTGGCCTTGAACACCTCCAGCATCTACAGCTTCCATGGGCAACCTGTTCCAGCACCTCATCACCCTCACAGTAAAAAATTTCTTCTAAAGATCTAATCTAAATCTCCCCTCTTCCAATTTACAACTGTTACCCCCTGTCCTATCGCTCCACTCCCTGATAAGGAGTCCCTCCCCATCTCTCCTGTAGCCCCCCTTTAGGTGCTGGA